CAGAAGTCCTGAGCTGATATTAATGCGAGTAAAGTGAAAGTAACAATAGTGAAATGCCGCAGCCTTGTTTTGACTTTTGATAGTTGGATGGGTGAATGAGTAAATTGGTTAATCGCAGATAGTCAGAGGGATGAGTGTAGGAGGAGATGGTTGGTTTACGGATGAATTAATGAAATAGCTGCATGGATTGAAAATAGTCGAACGATGGATATTAGGTGTTTATTTGGTCGCAAAATAGATTCACAAACGCACGGATTGATGTATGTTTACCCCTTCAACGATGTCCTGTGAAACTAGTTTAACTTCGGCCGTACAAATCAGCGAAAAACAAAATCGCGCAAAAAGCCCCCAGATGCAAAGGTTGTGCCAAAAATCAAATCTAAGACATACCTGATGTGAGTGGGTTTTTCCGGCATTGAATGAATGTGCTCGAGGATCTCTTGGACTAGGTTGTCACGGAGCTGCTCCAACGATCCAAAAGTGTCTTCATGATTGCTGTCGGACATAAGAAACTCCAGTGGATGATCAGGTAGAGCCAGTTGTAGATACATTGTCAGCAATCGCAGGTCCAGACAGTTACCTATACGGAAAAGAAGTAGAGACCCGGAACCGTCACTGTAATTGTGACTGATTTCTATTTACTGGGATAAAGCCGTGATGGTCCGTGCAGAAGAGTAAACTCAAGGAGCGTAAAGGAAGATGACCAAAACAAGACCTTTACGTAATTGTACATAACAACGATGTCACTTGTTTTGGACTCCAAGAAGAATGTGACGTTTAAGTTACGCTAGAATTTTCTCGTTCACAAAAGAAAAGAAGTTTCTAGGAGTAGAAATTGCATTAATTTTAAGATGCAGTCTCTCGTGATACTTATCCTGGTCTGCTTCGAAATGCGTTCCTTTGACTTTGTGAATCATTTAACTCTTTACTCCTATATAATGGTCAAAATTGGAAAGCTGTCTCGCTTTTGTTTAACTTTTACTCCATTGGTGAGGGTGGAATTTACTTATAAATACGCATTGTTGCATGCGCTCACAATTACCACTAACAGTAACGCGGTTACCTGTCAACCTATCCTAATGAAGGGTGTCCAAGCAGAACTGAAGTGTATGGAGCGCGATGGGATGCACTTAGACTTACAGTTGCGTGAACTATCACCCCGACATTAACCTCTTTCATGAAGCCTCGGTTTGAGTTAGGCACCAGTACCAAACTACTGAGTATATGCGTAGTTATGAAACTTGAAAAGTTGACAAAAATCTACCTCAGTAACAAATTCAACCACGCATGATTTCATAATTTTATTTCAGGCCTAGCTCTATTCTTGTACATTTCTGCGTACACACCCATATTAAACAGGAGAAGTAATTAGTCAACTCAATCTTACAAAGCTTCCCATTCCCAATCTTGTTAATTCGCGCGCCTCATTTCCTGAAGTACTTTTGTATTTGAGAGGGAATAAAAGGGAGAATAGGGAAATAGGAACGCTACTTCGTACAGAAAAACCACTAGTGGCTTATTTTCTTTCAGTCTATCAGGAACTGAATTATGCCATTTTTTCCTGACACAGTTAGGACCAACCGAACTTTTTTCCTATTGGAAGAGTAAGGCTTCCATGCATAGCCAATTAAGGTTGGTAATAATTTCTTGTAACACATTTATCTAGACTCGCAATATTTGCTATTCTTTTACTACAAATATGCGTTATCATTTTACTAAAAGAAGCAGGTGCAAAATTGCATGCGATTGCTAATGTTCGTGCTATGAGGCATAAAATGCTATCATAGAACGTCGGCTAAACTTGTTGAATGTGATTCAAACTAGTCTGCTTTACAAGCGCTATCCAACTTGGTCCCGCAATTGCTTAAGCTCTCCATAAAGTGCATTGCATGGCACTTTGTGAAGGTGAGATTGGTAGAACGCACCATCTTAAAGTAGCTTAAAGTGTAATTCGGACAATGTTTTGTTCACATAAATATGTGTCGCATTCGGGACGATCCTGTGTTATCAGTAAAAATGAAGACTTGATGAGTTAACATAAGTAATTTTGTGAAGACCAACTTTTAGTAGTGCTTTCTCTGTGCCCGCATCGGTTAGGTAGTAAACGTCACAGAAGTTAGGCAAATGAACCCACATCCATTATCGAAAGGTAGTAAATTTTAAAGACGAACAAGTGCATATTCTCCACTACCTTCATGTAAAGTGTTAAAGGCTAGCTAATTTATGCTAAGAATTGACTTGCGTTCCAGTGTTGTGCACGCTTTACATGTGTATGTGTGTGCGATTCGAGACGTAATTGTTCACCAAGAATTTCTTGCCCAAGTTCAAAGAACTATGGGGAAAATCTATCCACTCGATCCAACACAATGCATAGATGTAACAAAATCTTCTACTTCACCCTAGGACAGGAGAGTAGAAGGAAGGTGGTATTTCTCCAGGTGATGGCAATCACCTTGTCTTGGCACTAGCGTCAGACAAGCGCGTGTGAAAGTAGTAAGGGACTGAGACAAAACTAAGGTACAACTGGAGTTTTTTGGGGCCTAACCATTCGTTTCTAGGGCTACTTTATGAAAGATGGATTCAAGGTAGGCTTGAATCTGGTTTGGAGAAGACTGATGATTATTTAAGCGAAAAAAATATTGCAGGAGAGCTTTGCGGTTTTTGTGAACTGCTAAGTACGTGTGATCGTGAGCACTATCGAGATGTCAGCCAATAAAACCGACATACGGAGATTTGGGAGTACAAAAAGTAGCTACGTGCTTAGCAGCTAGACTACCAAAGGTCTTGGAAGGTTGGCAGTGTCGGGTTTTTATATCACCGCCAGTGGTTTTGACCTTAGAGCGATTATAGGTACGCATAGAGTATCTCAACGGCATCTTGGCCAGTAGAGCCTAACAAGAGTGCAAATCGAGAGGTGGTCTAGAATTTTCAACTTCCGAGCAAAAAACGTAGAAACTATTTCTGGAATTTTCGATATCATCAGTGCAGTTACTTTACTAAAATAAGATCACAAACTTATTTTTATCGTACGGATCGACTTTGAAATACCGTCTCCTTTAGCAACTTAACACAAAAAGGAATGTAACTGTTAAGTTTATGCTTTGACTTTAAGTAAAGAAAGCAAATTCAAAAACAAAATACAAGCCTGATGTTCATCCATTTATAAGGGAATATTCTCTTTTACGTTTTGAAGTCTGTTATTTTAGAAGGATGTGTTGGAGAAGAGTACAAAGCTATGCATTCAATTTTGTTGAGTACAATCCAATTTAAAAAGATTACCCATTTTTTCTTACGCTGAAAGCGCAACTATGAATCATTTTTCATACCGGAAAAGGAAGAACCTTTTCTGCAAGTGTTCTGGTTAACCTGCTCCAATTTCTCTTTTCGCAAATTTTAACTATGCAATGCTTTTCGTGTCTCCGAGCGCGTAATTTAACATAAACGCTGTTCAGCTCAGTCTTACATGCTTAATAGCCGCAAGTCCAGTCCAATCTGGTTCACTTCACACCTGTCCTGTTCAGACATTCTCCACCAAAATGAGATGACGGGCATGAGCACTGCTGTTAGTGGTAGTTGTGGCGCACGTAAGCGATAGTGTCCGTTGACGAATGAAGTCGCCCAACGAAAATGTCGTAAAATTTGAACTTTATCAACAAAATGGTCGTGAAATTAAAAGTGGACGCCGCCTCCGACATCACTACTACAAGCATGAGAACATGGGAGACTACTAGGCAACTGCCGAGAAAACCAACTATTAACTTATCATTTCCACCTTTAGAATTAAAGATACAACTGATCGGTGGGATTTATTGCCCAGTTTCATTCAATAATTGCCGCTTTAACGGAATATTCTTTTGACCAATCAGCCCAGGTCATTTTCGATAACTTGACCCGTGGGGTTCTGACATTTCATCACCCTCTATAAAGGTAGGTCTTGTTAGGTTGATCTTAATACGAGAATAACCTTTATTTTGGGGTCGTGCTGAGTCAGCAAAAATTGTGAACTAGCTATTAACTTAATCCTATCGGCCAACGCCACTTTGTATTTCTTGTGAATAATACATTAAGTAGACCTCTGATATCCTGCATTGCTGGCAAAAAAGTCCTAGAAACGCATACAGAGCTGTATTGATACGTCGACATTCTCTTGATAAGTCCTGTTCCCTGTCATGTTTGCCGTTTGTAAATTTCAAATACTTTGCGGAGTCCATGGCAGACATAATTACCCCAGGGTATATGAAAGCCTTGATCTTCTGTCCTATCATGGACGTGCTCCGTTAGTCTAGGGAGTTGAGTCTGACCTGAGCCCAGTGATGTTTATATCATCCTTATGAGCTGACGGCCCTTCGGCATCGCGAAGCATGGTATCCATAATCTACTGGGCTATGCCGAATGGGGGTCCCGAGTACTAAAATGTCCGTAATTTGTGTTGCTCATTGATAAATCCCGTGACTTTTCGTCACTAAATCTGAAGATAGGCATCCAACAAGTCCAACCCGAATAGTTCACGGATTCCAAACCACTTGTTTCTTGAAACCTTTTCGTGTTTTGGTCTATGACATATTGCACAGCGTAGGAAGCTGAATGTTTCCGCTGGTACAGTAGCTTCGCATCTAACCCCAGCGTCAAGACTACTTTGTCATTCCGGCACAAGCCGAGTTCCTCATTGGAATCATGGAGTACTTCTGGCTAGTCCAGTCAACAGTGCAACCAGTAAGGCTTTTCCTAATGAACCGATTAAACACTAAAATGAAGTACAGATAGGCGGATGGATGCACTCGAATGAACAAATAAATGCATTGGTCAGGAGGAAAAAAAGACTACGGATGAATATGCAGACGGAATCGAGAGACAAGTCGAGCATAGATTAGGAAGTAGACTAACCCAGAAAAGGGTAAATAAGTGAATGGATAGAAGAAAACGAGGTAGGATAAATCACGTGGAGACCAATGGAAAAGCAAATGACTGCAAAAAGAAGGACTGAACCACAGACATATGGATTAATAGATAAGAGAGTAAACGAATGGATCGAATAACAGATCGCGAGTGATTCAATGGATAAAACTGGAATAGATCAATTAATTCGGGAAGGATGCATGAATAGATCCAAGAGAAATTTAATAAACATTGAAAAATGCCTGGAAGGATTTTGAAAGAGTGGCCGAAGAAGTCGATGGACAAGTCAATGAGTGGATTATTTGGTAGATGTGATTGGACGAGAGGATTAATGAATAATGGAATAAACAATTCCATGAATTTGGAAAAGACTGAATACATTCATGCAACAGTAACGACCTACTTGTTTATAAATGACTAACAGGGAATCCCTTGCTTAAAAACCTACCTTCAAGTCCATGCACACAGATGACAAGGTGCACACTGGAGGATCGCACTGTAGGATTGGAGAAGTAGGGAAAGGGAACTGGCAGTTGGGAAAAATCCGAGTAGATATGACCCTTAAAAGTAGGTGGCAAGAGAACGTGTTGTTTCAAATGCTCCTTCAGCACCACAAAGGTCATTGTGCCAGGTGCAAAGGCATTCACCAGACGGTCTCCTCCCACGAACAATGTTGATGACGCCACAACGTTTGTGAGACAGTCGGTGGAATTGGCGGAGGTTACGGGTCGGGTCTGCTCCGTAGACTGCCGTTTTGATAGTTTCTTTTCCTCTTCTCCGTTCATCATGATGAAAGTTTGAGAGAGGGAACGGCGCTAACGAGACAGACAAAAAGGAACATCAATTTGTAATTATGAATTTTGCCAGAATTAATGGAAGCTACACTCAATTTCGTTATAATAAAGAAGAATGAGAGGATCCACGGTGTGAATTCTGTCATTTTTTTGAAATCAGTTACCTCAACTTTAATACCCTGATCTAAAAAAAGCAGAATGCCCTCTTGTAGCAATTAGGGGTTAGCAACGTTCCACGCCAAATAGCTATCTACTAGTTAGAAGTGAATGATTATTTTTTCGATACCCTTCACCTGAAATGGCGAAAGAGCAGAATGCCAAGCAGTGACACGACCAAGTGCCCAAACCCTTTGTGGTCCAACAGGGCGAATTGAATCACTTTTGAGTAGCTTCAAAATTAAGAAGGACCGAGATGTAAGAGAGAGGTGGTAAAACCCTTTTACGTAGCATTACTCAAATGTTAGTGTTGAGGTTAGACGAGACCTTACACGACTCACATCCTCAATCTCGACCTCTTCCCCATTCTCCTGTAAGAGACGGATCAGAGCGAGGCCGTCTTCTGGGTGGATTAACACCCATTGAACCAGTTCTTGCTGATGGATAAATGGAGGGCATTGGGGTTATAAGCGCTAGTGTCGATATCACAGTATCAGCAGAACCTAGGGTTTAGCTTCGCCAGAAGGAATATCTACAGTCACAAACTTCAATTACAGGGTTTCGATGCAACTTCCGATAAAAAATCGACTAGAAAGGAGGGTCCGAGTAAGGGAGGTCTTGTATGGCATTTAAATTAGTCTACGCAGAATAATGAAGAGCTGATGGATAAGATGTCCAAAGCATAACGAAACGCCTGGTTTAAATGTCACATGAGATGAATTCTCGGAGTAGATTGTACCTTTCACTTGTTTATAAACTGGAACTTTCTATGAATAGAGAGAAGGGTCATGTGGAGGTAACTAATCATTTCAACGGCACGGAGGTGACTACTAAAATGCCATGTTTCAATCTCCCCATTGGCAAAGAAGAGATTTCAAAGCATATTAAGCCAAAGAATGGACGAAAAGTGCAATTCTGAGTCAGATTTGGAGTCACAAACTTCAAATATGTCACGTCAATTTGCAAGTGAATAGACATTTGGGTAATATAACAAAGATGGAAATGGAGGTACCTAGCGATAGGCTATTTGTTTTTGGGCACAAAAAGCCTTATAAAAGTGCGATCTACAATCTTATATTTTGTTGGAGAAGGATTACATGAAATAGCGTATTTTAGGAATCCACCTGCAGCTATTTACTTAACTTTATAATGAAAACCACTGAAAATTCAATCATTTAGGACGCTTTTTCATCGCTCAGTATGAGATGTATTGCGGCGTAACCTTCCATTTCCAATTAATTTTTGCCCGGAACAGTAAATGCACGACCATCTACTATATGGCGTAAGGGCCGACATGATAAACATTTGGCTGCGATTTTTAACTACTACAGAGGCATTATACTCACCTTACTGAATGTGAAATAAACCAGGATCCAGGTGCCAAAAATGATGTACCAATATTTCACAATTGAAGTTTATTTTATTTACTCTAGTAAATTTCCCCTCCATCTCTCTGTAGGTGTGGAAGTCAGAGTACTAAATGCCAATAATCTCCAATTTTCGACCCATTTTGATTACATCTTCTTTAAATCTGTTAGAAGATATTCAAACTAAATCAAATAAATTAATATCCCATCAGTGTATTTCATGAAGACCACAAATATGCATAATCAAATAAATAGTGAGCAGTCGTTAAATTGGCGGACGATCACGACTAGGAAACGGCAACCACCTTCCTCATCAGATAGGTAACCTCAACGCTGTAGTGCAATGACTGCGGACACTGAATTTGCATATTTATTTACGGCAAGATCCAAAAGAATAACTATTTTAGTACTTAGTCGTGTCACCTGTTAATGACGGGAGATTTCACTCAGCGTACCGAGAGAGAAAGGAAGGATGAAATGGAAGGGTATTAGGCAGCTGCGAAACAAATCGGCTAAGTCCCGTTTGTTTACGTCTAGAGACGAGGCGTTTCATTAAAGTTGAGTTAGTAGAAAAGTGTTTTTTGAAAAAAAGTGCGAATAATATAATGCAATGATCGTTTCAAAGAATAAAACACTCACAGACTTTTCGATCCCTTAACCTAATTTGCTCATTTTTGTTATTTTTGTCAATGCGATGAGTCCAATGTAAAAACACCTCAGATACCTAAAACTACGCAAAAGCCGTCCATATAGACCACATCCACCTTGGTAAACCAGTCTTGGAACCCAGAACTACCGTTATTCGTGCTACTTAATCCAAACTAATCCTAAGAAGGCAGGAAATGGTCTCACTTCCATGCAGATGCTCTAGGATCATGGAAGCTGGAGTAGAAAGAACATTCATGGTAGACAGAAACATCTGAATTTCCTCGTATGAAAAAGAATGCCACCGTCGCTGTATTACATCCGTAATATACCGTTGAGGGCCAGCTCGGCCTGGACACTCACTCAAGATGGGGGACCACAGTATCAGCGAGCTCACGCAACAGCGTATAGCAGCTAATGCATCCGCCGATACTACCCACGTTTACAGTTCACTTCAAGGACAGTACGGTACGGTGATGACACGCTCAACCGCTCAGCAAGGCGAAATTTGAACAGTACAACGACGCACACTCCAAAGACCACCCAGAATACGTTTATCAGTGATGATTCCGTTCCCAGTTCACAGCAAAACGGTCATTTAGTGCAGTAAACATTCCTTCAATGCGTGGAACGCTTGTCTGATCCTGCACGCCTCAACGATGTGTGACCAACTGTCGTGCGAAGAAATTGCACCAGACAAATCTTTCCCCTATACCAACGGTGAAATTTTTGGGAAAGTTAGCAGATACGCTAGTTCAGGGACGCTAACAGATCAGTACTGAAGTCCTCCAAGTACAGATTAAACACGAGAATAAGTCTACGAATTTAACAGTCGGAGCCCCTGAATTCCTGGAAAATAAACGCATCTTGGAATTTCTTAGTTCCCTGTATAAATTCTAAAGTTACGACTTGAACTGATTACCCTTCGTAAGTTATTGTTTCAAAAATAAGCCTTTTTCATCCACTCATTCTCGATGTTTTTAAATCAATGCAAAAAAAAACACCACAGAAGCAGTTTTGTGTGCAAAAAATACTGCCATTTCCCTTACCGTGATCTTATTCTGCACTAACGCAATTCCTTTATCTGGATTTCGCATAACCCAATGAGCCACAGCAGTCGGACCATCGGTGGTGTCAGCAATATTCATTTCTTCATTCCTCCTTCCCCATTCACCTTCCGGCTGCAGAGGCGACGATGTTGTTGCCACGGCAACCGAAAATTCCCCTACCGTCTCGTGTGAGTCATGATGACGTGGTGATGCCTTGTCCGCTTCTGGGCCAATCTCATGATCACGGAGATCCTCAGAAAGTGAGGGCAGTGTAAGGGGGTTTGAGGCCTCACGACGTGACCTGTTGAAGTCCGTGATGCATGAAGTGGCGGTAGTGCACAGCTCTGGAGATGCGCTATGTGGCTTTCGATGGCTTCGGGTTAAGGGGTTTGTCTTGTCGCAATGACAGGAATGGATGAAGAGGTCGGAGAGTGAGCTGAAGTTCACCAAACTGTTACCGAAAGGAGGAGAAAATAATAGGAAATTTGATTACCATAGAAAGATGCGTTTGACGCCCTTTGGTGTTGTAATAATTTTCGTCTGGATGCATAGATAGATAGGGAGGTGGAGAGAAGAGCAGATGCACGGAACGATGGATGGACGCATGGACGGATAAATGCTTTAACAATGGATAGATTAATGAATCGGGATTGAATTGTACGATGCGGTATAAGTTGTCTGACCCCAGAAAGAACGATTAGATGGTGAAAAAAGCAGTGGATTCACAGGACCTGTACAAAAACCCCAACATATTGTCTCATAATAGTGGTGTCCGAAATAAGCCCCTTGTGGAGCATATTTCACACCAAAGTGGTCCTTTTGATGGAGTCTACATGACCAAGGGAACACCAGACGAATCACACCCAATCTCATGAGAAAATTCGGCAAGGTTAATCACCTCACCATAATACAAAGGTTATCCTCTCGTCTTCGTTTGTGAATAACCCTCTTCAGTGTTCCGGCAGCGGCCTTCAAGTTAAGATAGCAATCACAAAATATTTCGATATCTGGTTATCTTTTGTGGAAAATTGTACGGTATCTCAACAAAGACTGTAAAAACATTACAATGAGACATGCATGTTGATATTCAAGCCATACGCAATTTTACAACTAAGCAATTTTCATGCATTCTGAAACATAACAGAGCAATGAAGAGCGGATCGCTACTGCGTACTCCACATGCCAGTGGCTATAGGTCTCATAATGGTTATTGCTAGGAAATTACTGTTGCTTCAATGTGGTAGTACCCTCAAGTTCCTCCAAAAAGAAAGTTTGGTGGAGGAAGTATAGTACCAAATCTAGCAGTGCCACAGATCAATTACATAACTTCGACGAACGGGTCGTTTTGGATGCAATACACATGATGAATAGGGATGGTAGTTTCGTTACCTTAATCGTCAAACATAGTCTCCGATTGTCATTTACGCTTGAAATCAGGAAAAAAAAACAAGTCATTCTCGAGAGGTGTATGCTGTTAAAAATGCCCATTTTTTCTCAGAAAACCCTTAACATCACCAATGAAAAACACCGGGGACAAAATCATATCGTGACACTTTATGTGGTGAAATTTTAGATCCGATTCGACAGCCTACACTCAGACAAAGGAGATGATCAACAAGTTTCATACCAAGAATGCGGTTCAAGAGAGATATGGAATATTTCAGTAAGACTATTCCTTTTCGTGACGAGAAGAAATTGCCGATAGTTTTATGAACATGTTGTCAAGCTACTCCCCCAATTTGAATCACTTAAACTACTATGGTTGGAGCTCCATTGTTGGGGTCGCCGACACGCATGTTTGCAAAGATGAAAAATTTACAGTCGCCTTAGCAGTCAGGGCTCATAATATTTATCGTGATCATTTCCTCTACTGTATGATGCATAGACCGGTCAGAACAATCCCAAGATGCCAAGGCGGGTCATGAGATGCAAACACCTATTGCTCGAATTATACAACTTTATGCGCATTTGGTGCGTTTTTGCCTGTGTGCGAGAAGAGTGACTGTTACCAAGCCACAATACGCAAAACGTTAAGACGCTAATATAATAAAGATCGACACTATAGTATTATGACTTCAAAAAAGTGAGTTAACAGCACTTTACCGATCAGTTTAAGTACCACCAGATCGTGATCAGGATCGAAGTCTAAAAAAGCTGCTCTACCAGCATGGTATTATTTAGAAATAAAATCACAATATAGAGATAGGATTCACCTAATATAGGTGCTGGTGCATTTGGATAATAAATTTGTCTCTGATATCCATCCTGTAATGCTGTAAGTTTTTCATTTTCTACCACTAGATTCCGCTTTATTCTCTTGTCGAAACAGATTCATGAAACAGAATGTAAGTCAAAACCCCGCTTTATTTTGCAATAAGAGGCACCGCGTAGCAGATAAATCTAGGTAGCGACAATTGGATTTTGAAAATTGTTTTGCAAGTGCTCTACATGTCAAGTAGGAGAGACTTGCACCGGGATCGAAACAATGGACAATGGTTAGCTCCAATGGATGAAGATTAACCATGCCTTAATAGCATTCATCAGACGTTATCAAAAGAAGTCAACTGATTATAGCAAGTGGGTGATGACTGAAATCACTTTAGGCGAAACGGGTAGGGAGTTTAACCAACGACGATGCAGCTGGCCGAAGTCGAATTTGAACAAGAGGATTAGGCGCAGAGAGAATAGAAAGGTACTTGGCTTTTTTTCGGCCTCCCACCCACTGGCCACAGTGACTCTAAGGTAACAACATTTAAACTTCTGGTTTTTAGTACCACTTTTCCGTTTTAAGTAGAAAACACAAGGCTCGGTTGCTCAATAAAACATTGGGTTTGTGACATCAAATCAAGCTATCAGTACCAGGTCGAAAATTTTTGAAATCAATAACTAGAAATCAGAAACGTGAGAGTTGCGTGTAGGAGACCTCAAATACTCCAGCACGGCTAATTCGGTTCACGAACCTCAAAAATGGACGACCGGAAATCTTCGTGACCAATGCTAACTGCCTCCAACATCTTCCAATCTGACCCTCTTGAATGACAAATCCTGGATCACCGTTAAAGGGATTTCAAAGCCGTTTCCAAAATCCCACAGACATCGCTACCCGATGCCTAAATGTTACGGACGAGGTGAATAAAAACCAAAGCATAAAGGTATCTTCTCGTTTCGGAAATCGAGTCAGGGTAGTTAGTTAGTGTTTATATTAAATAACTTTTGGAGCTTTACCGTATACACGGGAAGCTAATTCCATTTCCAAAAACCATTTAGCATAGTTTACCACTTCCCAACTAATAACTGTTAGGAATTTGACTAAAATCAAAGTTAATGGTTTGATTAGTAGTAACACCGCTTCTTGTTCTTTAGAGATAAATAAGACACGGGTTGGATGGATACGGGAAGGTCTAATGAATTGATTTAATTGAAAATGGAAAAGTTGCGTTAACGGATGGAGATGTTGACGAACGGATTATTAGATGACAGAATGGATGGATGGTTGATAATTGTGTCTTGAAATTCTCATTCTACCAATGGCTTCTCTTATTCATCAAAATACCACTTCCTGGCCTCCGCAAAATCCCTTCCATGCTGCAACGGGTACAAACATGGCATTTGCGAAAACACAACAAACGTACTCTTCCGTGTAGATATGCGTCGATAAGGCCAGGTTTTTTCTACAAGGTAATAAAAACAAAATATGACAATACATATATGCTCCAATAATCTATAAAGGCAGAAAATAAATCTGTAGCTGTACTCTAACTACCGCAAACACAGCCACCAACAACGAATACTAGTTTCGTGGGTCACGTGATTTGCGAACACGCCGACGGAAGAAACCACCACTTTTAATCATTATTAGCCTCCTTCCTTTTTCTCAACAATGCACTACATGCACATTAAAGCTATTCAAGTAAGAGGCATTGTCGTATCCCACTTTACAAGCCCGACCTAGTTCTGAGTGAGTTCCATCCCTGGCGAAGGATATGGTGATTTGCACTGACGCCTCAAAGAAAGTTCACATTAAAAGGGATTGACTGATTAGTAAATGTCGGAATCTGTGGGGATCACGCAATTGTGAAGTACGAAATCAGGCAAACAAAAATAAGGACGCCACATGTATGCGAAAACCAATGGAGAATTCCTTCTCCAAAATGTTAGAGATCCATCAGTACAAATAGAAATTTTTAAGCAAAAGGTTAGAATATCCACCTAGAATTAGGCCTACGAGTGAAGATAGCCTTGTGTCGACGCTGTTGCTTGAGACGCCGCATAGTAGGTCTGCTACTAACACAACCGCCACAAAATTGTACTCCGGCATAATCCGACAGTGAAGAGCTTTCCAATACAAAAGGAGTACCATTAGCGGGATCGAGAGAGGAAAGAGAGGGAAGTGAGACGGAGGTCACCAGAGTAGAGGCGGTATTAATGGTTGTTGTGATGGTGGTAAGATCGGGTAGACCGCAACGTGAACAGCGTTCAACCACCACTGCATCTGTTGCTGCTGCCACTGCCTTCCATGAAGCGGGACTCGAACTCAGACCCGTGGGGCCAAGGTTTGGTGTAGAGATGGCATGTTCAATGTGACGGGAGCTGCATGGTTGCGATTTCTGCAATTGTAGTTGGCGCTTACGTCGGAGAATCGGGATCTTGGAGTTCTCAGCGCTTGGAAGTGAAAGCAAAGAGATGCTCTTCCGACTAAAAAGTAAAAATGGAGAAAGAATTCATCGTTTTGGAGAAGGTAAACCTGCGTGAGACTTCCTCATATGGCGCTTATCCCAACTAGCGTTTTAATAGACATTATTCTATGATCCATTCACTTATCTATCCCCAAATAATCTCCCCTTGCTCTCCCCATCCATCTATAATCCATGTCTTCATTCCTCAACTTGGACACATCAAACTATCCACCATTCAATAGATCACCCAGTTATCGCTTGCTCCTATAAATGCACATTTGCTCAAACAATCGACCATTTGAACATCTACCCACTCAGCCCCGATCCATCCACTTACCCATCAGATTTAGGCCCTGATTTTTCCGTTGATCAGTCATTCATACATCCGTTAAAGCGTCCTTTTATCTTCCCACCTCGGACTCACTCATCTGTCCATCTACTCATCCACTATTCATCGGTGAACTTATTCAAGTAAGCTAGCTCTTATTGGGCTCATCCACTCACCCATGTGTCACTTCACTCATTAACTTATCCTTTATCCACCCTTTGACCCGTTTACTCAGGCATCCTCGATTTATGGACACCTTCACTATGCCTAACCCCATTCAGCTATACATGCAAAATGATTTCTGAGTAAATGCTTTACAATTTCACTTAAATTTTCTCAACAGTAGATCATTCACGGCCACAGAAGATAGTCACAAGCAATTTTCATTCCGGTGGTTGTATCCTGGATGTTTTGACATAGGAGTTGGTGGATATAGACCTAAACAGAACGTATCCGGCTGGACGTCAAAAAATACTAAATGACCAAAAATGTTTGTGTAATTGTCGATATGTTATTCCATATATCCCTTTCAACATTCGTACCATCAAATTTCGGTCGACATGAATGTGTGAGTCGAAACCAACTACCTTACAAATGGAATTTAACTCGATTTCCAGGTTGAAGTAGCTAGCTTCTCCAAATACTTCTTTTATAGTGATGAAAGAAGGTGCGGTAGA